ATTCCTCCATCCCTCCTGGAGAGCCTGACAAGCTACCAAGAGTATCCCTCCCACATGGCAGAGCCTGACAAGCTTCCCATGGTGTATTGATATGCCAAAAACAGTAACAGTAACAAGTCTCACAATGGAGACATGACTGGTGCCCGCTAGAGCAAATCCACGAACAACAGGAGGACAGTGCTACAGTGCTTTAAAAACTGAAATTAAGAGGCTAGGCAGGTAAGGTATTTGCCTTCCAAGGGAGCCTAACCTAGGTTCAATCTTCAGGACTGCACATGGTTTATGAGTGATCCCTGAGAACAGGCGAAAGCCTGAGAATGACCTGCTGTGGCCCCAAAACAGAACAAAACCCTGAAAAGGGCTAACAAGACAGTACAGGGGTTATGTCTCTTGCACATCAGACAACAGTTTGCTCCTTGCTCCCTGCTGTCCTCTGAGCACGAGCAACTCTAGCACAGAGCCGAAACAGCTCAAGTATTCCAAGTGTGCTTCCCCCCTTTAAAAAGAAACTGAAAATGAGACAGAATAATAGTACAGTGGGTAGGACACTTGCCTTATATATGGGGGACCCAGGTTTGATCCCCAGCACCACATTGGGTTTCCTGAGCCCCTAGAGAAGTGATCCCTCAGTAGAGTCAAGAGTAAACCTTGAATACTCTTGAACACTCCGGGAGTGACCCAAAGAACAAACGATAAAACTGAAAATGACTTCAATTAAATTCGACTTTTCTTCACAGACAGAAAAATGTCAAAATCTACGGACTTTCCTGTTTCAACATTTCCTTTCACCTTTGAGATATTATTGTAGTTAACATTTCATATATTTAAAAAAAACTAAAAGAAGGGGTGTTAATGGAGCAAGTAAAGTCTCTTCAAGTGGTGCTGGGGAACAAGAAAGAAAGGGCGCTGGATTACCTACAGTTAATGGCAGAGGGGAGCAGACTAATGGTGGAGGTTTGGTGTTGGAATGCTATATGCATGAGACCCTATCACCAACAGTACTGCGAATCACACTAATTCATAATATGTTTAACTTTTTTTGTTGTTTAACGTTTTTCAAAAAAGAAAACTAGGGGCTAGAGCATTTGCAGGTAGAGCATTTGCCTTGCACGTGGCGGATCAGAGTTCAATCCCCAGCATCCCTTACGGTCCCCCAAGCATCGCCATGAGTGATTCCTGAGTGCAGAGCCAGGAGTAAACCAAGCATCACCAGGTGTGACCCAAAAAGTCAAAAAAAGGGCTGGAGAGATAGCACAGCGGGTAGGGCGTTTGCCTTGCATGCAGCCGACTCGGGTTCGATTCCTAGCATCCCATATGGTACCCTGAGCACCGCCAGGAGTAACTCCTGAGTGCAGAGCCAGGAGTAACCCTGTGCTTCACCAGGTGTGACCCAAAAAGAAAAAAAAAGTCAAAAAAAGAAAAAAGAAAGATGAAAACTATAGGGGACAAAGTGATAGTACAGTGGGTAGGGCAACCCAGGTTCAATCCTTAGCATCTGGGTCACCTTAACACTGCCAGGAGAAATTCCTGAGCACAGAGCCAGAAATTACCCCTCAGCATTGCCAGGTGTCATCTCCAGACACTCCAGACACAAATTTGAATAATTAGGGTCTGAAGGCATATCGAATACTCTCGGTAGCTTGCCGGGCTCTCCGAGAGGTGCGGAGGAATCGAACTCGGGTCGGCCATGTTGGCTGCGTGCAAGGCAAACGCCCTACCCGCTGTGCTATCACTCCAGCCCAAATAATAAAATAAAAATATTTAAAAAAGAAAAAAGAAAACTATTCCCTGGGAAAAGGAGGTGGGGTACACTGGTGAGGAATCTGTTGTTGGAATTATGTGCACAGGAAACCATCATTAACAGTACTGTAAATCATAAAACCTAAATAAAAAGTTGTAAAGAAAAAAGAAAACTAAAGTTCAAACACTTGAACTAATTGGCCTAATATAAGAACATTAGTTTGAACCACAGAGTTAATACAGGGGTTACGCCCTTACCATGCACACAGCCCACCCAGGTTCAATCCCCTACAACACACGTGGTTTCCTGAACACTAGCAGGAGGAATCTCTGAGCAAAAAGCCAAGAGTAATCCCTGAGCACAACTAGGTGTCCCCCCCCAAAAAAAAAACAAAAAAAATTAATTAAAAAAAATTTTTTTGATCTAGTGCTCAGCATAGCACAGAAACCAATGCCAGGCCACTAATGACATCAAAGGTACTTTCCAATATGACATCTAGTTCTGGGAATTTATAAACAGTCAAATTCTAAATATAAGGTAAAATACAAACCTTATGAAGTTCATAACTGCACCTTAAAATTACAAGGGCCAGAAAGAATGAGTTGTGTGTCTAAGATTTTCCAAGTCTTCTGTGCCCTAAGACTAGTTATGTAAATTCTTTGCAATGGAAATATGCTACCAACAAGGAAACGCATTCAAAAATAAAAGTACTGGAGCTGAAGAGAGAATTCAGTGGGCAGGGCATGCAGATGACCTGGAGAATACAGTGCCTTGCATGCAGATGACCTGGATTTGGTCCTTGTCATCCCACATGGTCTCCTGGGCATCACCAGGGGTAATTTCTGAGTGCAGGGACAGGAATAACCCCAGTATATCTCAGGTGTGACCCAAAAGAGAAACAAAAAAATTCAACATCTCTTCCTAACAAAAGTCTCAACACAAAATCCTGCAACAGGGGCCAGAGATACAGGTCAGCAGGTAGGGCACTTACTTGCCTTGTATGCAAATGACCCAACCTGTATTCCATTCCTGGCACTACATATGGCCCACCAGCACTGACAGGAGTAAGTCCAAAGCACAATGCCAGGACTAAGCCCTGAGCACTGTCTAGTGTGAACCAAAAAGAAAAAAATCCCTGGAGCAATTAATGTTCGGCAGAAAACGAAGTCAATCGAGAATCTTAAAGGGTAGAACCTTTACTACTTAAACAACGGGAAAATGTACTTGATTAGGGAATGAAGGGATAGTACAGTTGCTGGAGGCAGACAAGGTTTGATCACCACATCATATGGTCTGCCAGCACACTCAGGTGTAGTCTCTGAGCACAGAGCCTGGAGGAAGCCCTGAGCATCACCAGTTAAGTCCTCAAAACAAACAAACAAACAAAAGTTACAAAAACTAAGAAAAGTCTTAATTTTTGGGGGGGAGAGGGGATCGGTCACACCTGGGGATACTCAGTGGTTACTCCTGGCTGTGCACTCAGGAATTACTCCTGGTGGTGCTGGAGCTCAAACCTTAGTCTGCCACATGCAAGGCAAGTGCCCAGCCTGATCTGGCCTCCAAAAGTCCTAACTTTCTGTAAAGCCAGCTCAAAGGCCTAAATACATCAGTAAATACACTTTCACTGATATCTTTGTCAAGGCAGTCATAGTCTGGCTGTAATTTTATTACTCTGAAATATGAACGTTTTACCGTCTACAATAATAGCAAGTTCTACTGTGGCAATAAGGAAAATATATGGAGTAGCTTTTAGCTCGCAGAGTTCTGAATTATAAATAAATAACTAAAATCTTAGGTCAAGATAACACTGAATGATGAAATCTGTCTCTCTTGTGGGGGAGGGGGGCCGCGGGGCCGGGGCAGGAGGCCACAACTGATGCTCAGTGCTTACTCCTGGCTCCGCACTAGGGATCACTTCCGGTGGCACTTCAGAAAACCATGCGCGATGCTGAAGACCAAGTCCCGGTCCGCCACGCAGCACCTTCACTGCTGAGTTACTATCGCTCCAGTCCCCAAATCTGGCGTTTTGCATGTTTCCCACAAGCCAGAGAACACAAGTAAAGCCACCAAGTACATAGATGAGGATTTACTTTTCCTGAAGCCCCGCGAAGCTAAAGCCAACTTCCTATCCAAACTCATCCCACTGGTACAAAATGATTGATTTGAAGAAAAAAAAAAAAAGATTCCCCTAGGTTAAAAGAAAATGGACTCAGCAGGCAAGCAGTTAGCACCAACTCCCTGGGACCCAGTGTCTGGCCTTCTGCTAGGCAAGGTGACCAATTGAAAAAAATGCAAAAAGACAATGGATGTCAAATGCAATTAAGATTAGGAGAAGGAAAAGGGAAAAAAAAATAAATGCCACCAGGGGAACAATTAGCAGGTTTTCCTTTCGGCGAACCTGCTCCGACGGTTCTGCAGCTCGAACTAAACAGGTCCACGCTCCCCGAACAGCCAACAGTGCGCGGCGCGGGGCCCCGGGGGAGTCCTTAGGCGAGCCCTGAGCTGGCTCACGGGGGTGAGGGGACGCCGTTCCAAGCCCGGGTTTCTGTTCTGAGACTGTCCCCCCCAGAGCTCCGCGACAGTCCCCTGTTCATCTGCACTGGAAAGCGGCCGTGCCCGGCGCCCTCAAAAGTAACCCGCGCTTTGCGGCTCTGGCGCCCGATTCCGGACGGCTCGGGCCGCCCCTCGGGATCGACCCCCCGGCCCTCCCCGGAAAAGGCCGCCACGCGGGTTCCGATCAGACCCCGAGGGGGCAGCGTGGGGGTCGCCTCCCTCTCCCGCGGCCGCCGCGAGCGACCCCCGCGTCCCGAGTCCACGGAGCGCGGGACCCCCCCCCCCACCCCCGACGGAGCGATTTCCTGGAAAGCGACACTCGGCCAGGTCCCGCCCCCGCGGCCGGCGTCTGGGCCGCACGGGGGGCGCCCCCCACCCACCGAGCAGCCGGAAGCCGTCCCCGCGCCCGCGCCCGCGGCCCCGGCCCCGGCCCGCGCGCGCAGCCTCGCCCGGCGCCTCGGCCCGGCCTCCGCTCCGCTCCGCTCCCGCCCGCAGCCCCGACCCGGCGCCGCGGGGCCTGCGCCGCCGCCCCCCGCCCGGTCCCCCCACCCCGCCCGCCCCGGCCGCGCGCGAGGCCCGCGTCGCCCTCCGCCCCGCCGGCCGCTCCCCGGCGCCCCTCAGGCCCCCGAGCACGCAACGGCCGCGCCGGAAAATGGCGGAGCGCGGCGGCCGCCGTGGGCGCGCGCGCGGGCGGCGCGGCACTCACCGTCCGGCGCGGGGCGGCGCGCCGCCGAGCGGGCGAGCGGGCGTCCGGCGTCGCTCCCCGGGGCGCTCCCGCCGGCCGGCCTCCCCCTCCGCCCCTCAGGCCCTCTCCGCCGGAGCCGCGGCCGCCATGTTCTCCGGTCAGCCCCGAGCGCACGCACGGCGTCATCGCGTCATCACGCCACGCGTCAGCGCGCCCGGCGACGTCAGCGCGCTCGGGGCGCCGGGCCGTCGGCCGCTGTGCGCAGGCGCGGGGCGGGGCCCGCGGGGCGGGGGCGGGGCCCGCGGGGCCGCACGCGGCGCCCCGGCGGCGTCTTTGGGTCTTTTGTTCCCTCCCGAGGGGCAGGGGCGCGGAAAGCCAAGCGGGGTGCGGGCCCGGTGCCCGGGACCCGACGCCTGACCCGCTCTCTGCCTATTGTCAGCTAACCTCGGTGGCTTAAAAAAAAAAAAAAAAAGAAACAACTTCCAGCATTTGAGGAAGAAACTTTTTCCCCCTGCGGCGCTTACAGGCGAAGGCAGGTCCTTCTGCAAGGAGAGGCCCCACTGGCCAAGGTTCGAGAACCTAAGTCAAAGCATCCCCCACGCCCCTCTCTCCCGGTTGTTGCGTTTATGCCTTATCTGATGCCAGCCTGGGCGGTGGTTGTCTCCGTCCCTCGTCCCTCGTTTAAGGCCGAGTCCAAGTTACAAAAACAGAGTCCCGTGCACAGCTACTTTGGAAAGCTCATTCAGATGCCTGCCCCCAGCACGGCCTGGAGGAATCCCTGAGTCCAGAGGCAGGAGTAACCCTGAGCATTGGCCAGTGTGGCCCCAAAACACAACCCAAAAATATAGTTAAATGCCTCCAACCCGATTGAATATTAGGAAAATTACTGTATCAGACATAAAGAACAGGGGCCTGAGCGATAGTACAGCAGGTAGGGAGTTTGCCTTGCACACCTCCAACCTGGGTTCAATCCCTGGCATCCCATATCGTCCCCCAAGAACTGCCAGAAGTAATTCCTAAGTCCAGAGCCAGGAGTAGCCCCTGAGCATCACTGGGTGGGTGTGACAGCCCCCCATAAAAAAAAGCAAAAAAAAAAAAAACCACTAGATAATAGTATTAAAATTAACTGTTGAGAATACAACTTAAAAACAAGTTGTCTTCTAACGTTTGGAAAGCATAGCACAGCGGGTAATGTGCATATGACCTGAAATTAAACAGAGGCTAGAGAGATAGTACAAACGGCAGGGAACATGCCTGTACTCAGACAACCCTGGTTCAATACCCAGCCCTCCATGTTGTCCCCTGAGCACTGCCAGGAATGATCCCTGAGACCACTGGGTATGGCACAAAACCAGAAAACAATGCTTGGTTTCCTTCCTTTTGTTTATTGGTACCAGGGATCAAACCCCGGGCTTCATAACATCACTTGAAGCATGCTATCTACCACTAAGCTACATTTTCAGGGCACAGTTTTTATGATACCACAAATACTTATAATTGGCTTTTAGCAAACATGAAAATGAGAAATTATAAATATGTATATGAGGGGGTATGGTGCTGCCAGCAGGTCAACCTGTACCTGCAGGGTGAGTACATTAGCAGCCAATGTAGATCCGATGTAGATCCAGGTAGAAGTCGTGGATAACCATTTCCATGGCCCTTCTGGAAAATGTGATAGATCCATCAGGACGTTGGAGGGCAGTCATCTTGGTCTTAGAGTTGGCGAAGGACAGGCTGGCATTGCGAATACTTTTCCTGGCTTCTGCCACGTCGGCCAACACTACTGTTCTTCTCTCTTTGAGGTCTTTATCGCTTCTCTGCACAGCTTTGAGAGCTAGGACATTAGCTTGTGATTGCCTGAGGCCCAAACCAAACCACATTGACAAATGAGCTCAAGAGTTTCCAAAGACAGGGATCTTTTTGTGGGTTTCTCTCTCTCAGCGTTCCTGGCACAATCATGAAGATGCTGAACCAGTCAATTGTATTCTTCGTAGATGTTGCCAACAATGGTATCTTCCCATATTTCCACAATAATGCCAAAGAGTTCACCACCTCACCCTCTCAATGGTTCACCGCCTTATCGTGGCAAGGGATGGCAACGGTGCCAATCGGCGAAGAGCGAACCAACATGCCACCCACACGGAAGAACCTAGCAAGCTACCCATGACATATTCGATACGCCAAAAACAGTAACAAAAATGGGCCTCATTCCCCTGACCCTGGAAGAGCCCCCAATATGGCAGCGTTGAAAAGGACGAGCAAGGAGAGGCTGCTAAAATCTTAGGGCCGAACTAAGCTGCCAAAACAAAGAAAGACTAAAATGACTATCTGCACGTTTAACACACGTGGCATCAGAAGCATTCATCGAGGACCTGATGGTGCAAGCACAGAAGACCAAGAACAACGTCATTGAATTGACGGAAACGAGAAGGCATCGATGATATCAGGCCGTTTTCGACACTAGAGAAGAACTGTTCCTCAGAACATGCTACAGTAGAGGCATCTGTGGTGTCGGTGTCCTTGTCAACACAAACTTGGCCATGAGCATTGATTCATTCAAATGCCTAACAACCTGAATCGGATACTTATGTTTGAATAGATATGGCTTATTGCCGGCAGCTTCTATCTTTGTCATCTACGCACCAACATCCAACTACTGTCACTGTCACTGTCCTCCCGTTGTTCATCCATTTGCTCGAGCGGACCCAGTAACGGCTCCATTTTGAGACTTGTTACTGTGTTTGGCATATTGAATATATGTCACGGGTAGCTTGCCAGGCTTTGCTGTGCGGGCGAGATACTCTCGCCCAAACATCCAACTACAATGAAGAAATTAAGAAGTTCTACATGGAGCTGGAGAAGTTCTATAAAGAAGACCACACTTTCTACAAGGTCATTGTCAGTGATTTTAACGCCAAGATAGAACCAAGAAGATCGCCCGAAGAACTCCACATCAGGACCCATGGCCTAGAATGGAACAAACAGGGTGAGAGACTGTCTGAGTTCATCATGTTGACCAAGACCACCCATGGTAACTCACAGTTCCAGAAGGCCGAATCTAAATGTTGGACATGTGAGTCTCCCGGCTGACAGTTCCACAACAAAATTGACCACATCATATTCAGTCAACAGCTTTGCCTGACCCATGTCGCTGTTGTCCCAAAATTCCAAACGGGATCAGACCACCATTTCCTTCGTGCGAAATTCTACTTCACAGAGCGCGGAGAAAGGGCTGCAAAGTTTAAGAAGAGAACTCCCAGAACGACCACCAATAATAAAACAATAAGATAAAATTAACATTCTGAATAGCACTGCACTGTCCTCCCGTTGTTCATCAATTTGATCAAGCGGGCACCAGTAACGTCTCCATCATGAGACTTGTTACTGTTTTTGGCATATCGAATATGTCACGGGTAGTTTGCCAGGCTTTGCCGTGTGGGTGAAATACTCTCAGTAGCTTGCCGGGCTCTCCGAGAGGGGCGGAGGAATCAAACCCGGGTTGGCCATGTGCAAGGCAAATGCCCCACCCAGTGTGCTATGGCTCCAGCCTCAAAATAAGCTTACTATATACAAATAACAAAGTATGTGTAAAGAATATAAATATTGCTTAAATGGGTACAAGGAGATGACTCAAAGGTCAAAGAAGCATGCCCTGCATGCAGAGTCCCAGGTTCAATCACTAGCTCTCTATGTCCTCTCCCTAGCATCACTGGATCTTCATAGTCAGTCTGACCCTTTTAGCTAAGTCATCCAGATGTCCTGAGAAATGCAGATAACCTCCTGACAAAACTAAGTGCTTGAAAATCATAACCTCCAAACTATATACAATTTACAATACTTTAGAAGTAGGCCTTTTGTGACACTCTGAATAAAAAAAGAAAAAGTAATATGGAGTTCATGCTCAATTCAATCAGCTTAATCAATGGCTGAATAAATAGCAGTACTCCTACATTAGAAAAAAAGAGAAACAAAAAATAAAAAAATATGTATATGAAAATTTTTGTAAGGAAATAAAATGGTAGGATTGCTTTTTAGGAATGGAGAGCTTGTTGGATTATCCTGGCAGGTGCTGTGAGAATACTGCCCCTTGCCTCTGTGCTGAGGGGTTGCTCCAGGCAGTGCTCTGGGGCCCACGGTGTAGGAATCAAACTAAGGTCAGCCATGTGCAAGACAAGTGCCTTAACCCTGAAATGTTTCTCTGGTCAAGTTCTGTATTTCTTAATCCCCCATTCCAGAGGGGTTGGAATCATCCTTCTGGAATGGGGGATTAAGAAATGATCTTAAATTTTTAGATTGACAGTATGGGAGTTCAGGAGTTAAGGCACTTGTCTTGTATGCAGTCAAACCCTCTTAAATCCCAGTTACTGAAGATTGGTCCCAAGAACCAATAGGAGTGATCCCTGAGTGCCTAAACACACACACACACACACACACACACACACACACACACACACACACCAGGAAGATAGACCAAAAAACTAGATGAGCCAAAGACTAGCATGTGGAATGTATAGGTCTGAACCCCAGCATTTCATGGTCCCAGAAGCACCTTCACGTACCACACTAGTAGTGACACCTGGTCACTGCCAGGTGTGGCCAAAAAAAGCAAGAAATAAAGATAGATAGCTTACATGGTCCTAGGATTCATTGCTGGCACCTCACGGTGCCCTGAGCACCATTGATTCTGGGCCCCACGCCCCCCCCCCAAAAAAAAAACACCTTGTTGGACAGATGATAGGCTTAAGTGGTACCGTGTGTGCTTCCATATGTGACCCCTGGCTTTGATTACTAAGCACCACAGGATGCAAACCCCCAACAGAACAAGAACATAAGGAAATACAGATGTTTTGTTTTGCTTTTGTAATCACTGAGGAATGTAATTTTTTAATTTTTCTGTAGGTTTTTTTTTTTGGTTTGGTTTGGTTTTGCGTATTTAGGTCACATCTGGCAATGCTCAGAGTATACTCTTTAGCTGAGTACTTGGGGGTCATTCCTGTCAGTACTGGGAGACCATGCAGCACCAGGGACCAAACTCAAGCCTTCCACCAGCTGCTGAACAAGCTGCCCTCCCCAGGGTATATGTTTTTTTTTTATTTTCAGGTTATTTTTGTTTGTTTTGGGGCCACACCAGGCGGGGCCCAGGGCTTTCTCCTGACTCCG